GCTTGGAAATAGTAGCGCATAAATAGCGCATAAATCCTGTGTATTTAATTTTTCAAATCAATTATTTTTAATGGGTGGGGGGGCTGACTGATTGCCTACTCAGCCCCCCCACAAAAATGTTTTTTTTAGCTAAACGGAAGGAGCGCAAAAATTTTTGTTTGTGGATATGAATAGCGCATAAATAGCGCATTATTACATAATTTTTTCATTTAGATTTGGTTAGGTGGGGGGGTCAGCTAGACAGACGTAAATATTAATAACTGGACAGACGTATAAAATTAAGAATGCTATATTTCATCATGGTTCATGTATAGAAAACGGTTTTATAAGTATGTGTAGAGAATCTAATATTTGGATTGAGGCTAATGACGCACAAGTTTCAAAAAAGCAATGAGGTCCTAAAAACACTTATATATTATTCTTAGAAAAAGTTGGCAATAAATAATATATATCTAGCAATACACACACGTACGAAAAAATATATTATTAATCATATATTATTTACATATATATAAACATGTAAATTTATAAGATGTTTAACAATTAAAATGTGTGATATCTCAACAAAATTACCTTTTTAAAAAAAAGGAAAAAAAGGATCAAGTGCGTCATCCTCTTACGAAAAAAGCCGTTACATAAATTATTTTACAATATTATAAATTACATCTCTGTAGTACATATGCATATATTTCAACAAAAAAAAAATGAAATGAAATCTTTAAATTGCGCCAATTGCGAAAAGAATATATATTTTCTCGAAATATATATTTTCTATAATTTTATATTTGCAATGGAATACAACATTTAATCTAAAAAAATTAAAGACGAAGCAGCACAAAATGAGAAAATTTTATTAAAATAACATAATTTTTTATTTAAAAAAGTGAAAATACAAAAAATTTGGCGCTGCTAAACCTCAAAATATAATAACTAAATGTTACATAAAAAAAATAAACTAAGTTTAATTAACATTAAAATTACAATCACAATTACACACAATTAAAATTATAATTAATTTTAAACCTACTCTTAAATCTACCATATCTTAAACCTACTCGGCATCGCTTCTATAACGTATGTCTTATAAATACAAATCTACAATTACCTTACGCTTAATTTTATACGCTTTTACAATATATAGTGTACAACGTATAAATACTTATCCTATATTAAATCTAAACCGCATACCAATCTGAATTTTTTGTTCGCACATACACACATACTGTATATTGTTAATATAAAACTGTCTTACGCTGCACGTTCACTTGACACGAGACACTACATACTGTGTCTCTTAATAGTCTACCGCATTCTCTTTTTCAAATCTTTTTATTATTTTTTTTATTCATATTATTTAATAACCGTCTTATGTATTTTGAAATCTAGCAGCGCCAAGTTTTTTGTACTTTTACTTTTTTAAATAAAAGATTATGTTATTTTAATAAAATTTTCTCATTTTGTACTGCTTCGTCTCTAATTCTTTGAGATTAAATGTTGTATTCTATTGCAAATATAAAATTACAGAAAATATATATTTCGAGAAAATATATGTTTTTTTTGCAATTGGCGCAATTTAAAGATTTCATTTCATTTTTTTTTTGTTGAAATATATGCATATGTACTACAGAGATGTAATTTATAATATTGTAAAATAATTTATGTAACGGTTTTTTTTGTAAGAGGATGACGCACTTGGCACCTTTTTTTTCCTTTTTTTTAAAAAGGTAATTTTATTGTATGAGTAAGAAAAAAAGATCAACTCTTAAAGCCGTGGGGACTATACTTATTCCGTTAGGTCCTTTCGTACAACAATAACATTTTAATTAGACATCTAAGTCTAATTTTAAGGACTCCATGTTGTTTTTTCGTGCAAACTACTAGTCTGCGGACTACTATTTCGTAAAATTGCTTAGCTTTTATACGAAGCAAATGTTGTCATGACGTGATATAGTTTTGAAGCGCCATATTGGGTTAAGAAATGGTAAACATCTCAATTTTTAAATTTTTTGTCGTTCTCAGCATATACTCCATCTCACAGACATGTATTAATGCGTATACTTTAATCCTGGAAAAGAATTTTTGAGAGAGAATCAGTAAAAGAGGAAAAAAATAATTGTACAAAAATTATATGATTTAGTCGGTAATACAGACGATTTTAGAATCCTCTTTACCATATAATTTTTGTATAATCATTACTTTTTGTATAACCATTACCACACATTATACGTGTCTGTGAGGTGGAGACATGCTGAGAACAAAACGACAAAAAAATTTCGAAAAATTAGATCTTTACCATTTCTTAGTCCAATATGGCGCTTCAGAGCTATCACATCGTGACAATATTTGCTTCATTTATAAAAGCTATGCAATCTGTACTTATGAAATAATATAAGTCCACAGACTAGTAGTTTGCACAAAGTAACGTGGAGTTTTTAAAATTGGACTTAGACTTCTAATTAAAACACTATTGTTATATGAAAATTTATGTATACGTGTGCATGAGATATTGATATAGTGATGTGTAATATGTAGTGATGTGTTAATAATACATAAATCGTCTATGTATAAATGCTATTTACAATATATGACTAATCGTCTTTAGAATCCTCTTACGCATGGATCGCATATAATGTGACGGGCGTGTTCGTCAATTATTCACGCTCCGATACTTGCTAAGAAATTATGACTCGACTATAACAATGATATTCACTGTGGCGTAATGAATCGCGAATTGCTTTGATACGCACTGTATTACTTTCGCGACTTTGTTCTCGCCGTGTAACTTTCGCGCTCGAAGAAATGTCAGGCGGTGGCGGCGCGCCAGGTGTGTTACTTCCGTTTATCTTACACACTGATTTGTTTCCGCAGCAGCTTAAGCTCTTTGTGCTCCCCTCGGGGGAAATTTCGCCGCTATAAAAAGCTTACTGCCGTAAGCCCGGTCCTGAAGAGTTTAAAACGGGGACAGAGTTCCTCGAGCTGTTTGAGGTAGTACGTGGCGCATTGCAGTGGCGATCGGTGACTCGGGATCCAACTCTTCTCCGTGAGAGGGGAAATTGGAATTTTGAAGGCACTATGCTTACTTCGTTAAAGTTACGCCCGCGGCAGACTTTCCGAGATCTCTTCGTGAGTTCATTTAGAGACTTTCGCTAGTGATTGGTGAACGTTAGATTCGGGGGGCTTATCCAGGATGATTTCAAGTAATTAGCGGCAACGACGGACTTGAAACTTTTATAGAAAGTTTGATAAACCAAAAAGATTTCCTAATTGAGAAGGTAATTTGTGATTGAAGAAAATAAATGTGTTAAGAATGTATATCTATCATACTTTACATTATTTACAATTATTTATAATATTTTCAAAATACACGTACTGAATTTACACGTTTGCGTTTGCACACATACATTTTATTCTATTTTTTTTCTTTATATGGCTGTGTTTAGTGTAACTTTATATTTTTTTCTCAAATCCTTTAAGGGGATTCTAAAGACGATTGTAAATAACATTTTACACACAAACGATTTATGTGTCATTGATCACATCGCTACATCAATATCTCACTCACGCATGTCACACATACACATAAATTTTTGTATAACAATTACGTTTTTAATTAGATGTCTAAATCCAATTTTAAGAACGCTATTTCTTCATGCAACTACTAGTCTGTGAACTACTATTTCGTAAGTATAGATTGCACAGCTCTTATATGAAGCAAACATTGTCACGACGTGACAGCTGTGGAGCGCCATATTGGGTTAAGAAATGGTAAAGAAGATTTCAATTTCGAAATTTTTTGTCGTTCTCAGCATAGATCACTTCACAGATGCATATTAATGCGTATACTTTAATCCTGAAAAAGGATTTTCGAATTTATAAAAAAGGAAAAAAGTAATTGTTATACAAAAATTACGATTTAGTCGGTAATACAGACGCCTTTAGGAGTAAGTCGTAAGCATGACAAGTTAAATAATGTAATGAAATTGTCTTTTTATTCTTTTAAATATTAAAATAATTTTTAAAATAATTCCAGATTGTGTGTGTGTGTGTGTGTGTGTACGAGTTGCATATGGGCACGGCTGGAAATTAAGTAGCTGCAAAATAAAAACTTCAGCTTTGGCAAGACTTTTATGTAATTACTTTAAAATTAATGCAAATACCTTGGCAGTAAAATCTGAAATATACGTAACTGCGAATTGCGGGATTCGCAAATGCGATATTAAGCCAAAACTTTTTCTTGGAGCCTGTTGCAGTTAGGGAAGTAGCGCTTGCGCTAATCATAACGAATATAAACGTTACGCTGGAAAAGGGGAGAAGGGGAGACGAGGGAGTGGTAAAATTTTATTTTTATTTGGGTTATAAATTAAAATTTTTCATCTCCCCGCTATAATTCCCTGAGCTTCTCACTGTGCATTTTTCATGTCATGTGCGCATTGTGATATGCGTTGTTTAATCTGGTTAAACATGAACATTTGCACTGCCCATTATAAACAAGACAGGAATATTTCCTTCAAAATATATTAAATCTAAAATCGAGAATTTTTTATGTTTTAAAACTTGTTGCACAAATTTGAATGAAGTATTTAAACGTTGGATAGAATCGATCAAGTTATAATTGGACGATCGAGAATTAATGTCTTTTAAAACAATGGCTTATTTAATGAGATGTTAACATTGTTTACATCTCGTTAATTAAAACCAAATGTTTAGGGGCTTTTTACAATATGTTAAGCCTCTAGAGCGATTTTGAAAATGCAATATGTATCTGAAAAGCAATTTGATTATCGTAATTAGTAACCAATAAGTTATATTAATATACCAATGTTCGTCGATTAAATTTATCGCGATTTATACAGATACGCAGATCTCGCAGCACAAGTAGCGCAATTTCGCAATACTAAATAAGCCTTATTGTAGCAAAAGAAAGTCGTCGTACACACACGAGGACTGATCTCCATCTGCTAAATATACTTACGCGAAGCAAGCGGGCGAGAAGGGATCCGAGCATATTCCATGCTCTATATCTGAAACCATTTGCTATCCACTTGGTGGGGGAGTCCTTCCATCCTTTTACTCATTTCTGAATACCTACACCTCTACACAAATCATTCTCCCCCGCAGAAATAACGTATTTGGGTGAAACAGATTAGTGCGTACAACATGTCAGATAAATTTAGTAATCTACAGAGAATTTCCATGGAGACAGAAGAAAGAGATGGCAAATATATATTTGCCGTATATATTCCTATATATATTCCTGACACATATGTGTCAGGATAAAAAAGATACGCACAAATATAGGAATATATAACTATAAACATACACTGAAAAAAATGCATATAATTTTACATGGAAATTACATGTTCATGACTGGAAAATTGCTTAAATATGATTGGAAATTTACAATTTCCAGTAAATTTCCAAGCATATTTATGTAATTTAGATAATTTTCCAGTCATATATTATACATGTAATTTCCATGTAAAATTACATGCATTTTTTCCAGTATATATATATATATATATATATACATTAGTGATATTGTGCTGCGTTCGTTAAATGCACTATAAAATTGAGACCTCGAGGCGTGCTCTCTTGCAAAACTGTCTCGATACCATTGTAAAAATATCGACAGCATTTTTCACTTCCGATCTATTTTTATGTGGAATAGTATGTTGCATCGGATAACGAATTGCGACAATGTTGCAAATTGTTACATTTTGACAATTGAGAAAGTGTCATATAGACTTTACGAATGATAATTATTTAAGCCTTAAGATTACTACCGTATTATACCGACTTTGTAACTAACCTCATAAAAATAATCAACGTCAAATTAACGTTTGTAAAAATGTTACGCTATCTCTACATCAATTTTTACCAAGCGTCATGAAAGATGTGTTAATTATATTACTATTAGCGACTAAAAGAAACAATAGATACATAATACCTGTCATAAGATTTTAATACGATTTCTGTGTCAAGATGGAATTCTAATGAGACATTTTTCAGTTTACAATTTCTTGATCTTCACAGAGCAATATGCTGATTTTTCAGTAAAAATCGTGCTGTTTTCTTGTACAGAGACGGCTCGCAGTTGTACGCAATCAGTTCATTTCAATATCGTTCAGTGTGTGTAAACATATCCATCTTAATTTCAGTGTAAATATATTTACAATTGTCTCGCGTCGAAAGCGCTGCAGGATACTCACAAGTGGATTAGTTTCTTAAGAGTCGTAGATTGATTACTTGATTAGTATTCACCGATGGGTTACATTATAGAAATAGAACTGGAAATAGCTTTTCATTTATATTTTGTTTTTTTCTTAAATAATTGTTGTGTTTAAATATTTTAAATTTAATGATTTGAAATAAATTCACTACGTCTATTTTGATGGTCAAACACAGTTTTTATAAAACTATTCTTGTATGTGTAAGTTGACTGTGTAAAATTAAAAAAGATTTGATCGGTGAAAAGTATGCCCGCAAATTTATTTCGGAAATTCGGTCGAAATTGCATCCAACACTAAAAACAATGGCATAATGACGGTTTTGTGTGTTAGTTTGCAACTCAATGTAACACATTTAACTATTATTTTCAAATTGACGTGCAAAAACTCGTAATACCTTAATTATTTTCCATTTTCACCTCAACTGATTTCCAACGAAGCAACTAGAGTAACTCCCACAAATACACCGCGCTGGGATTTACGCCGCAGAAGTCAGAAAAAATAGAAGGAGTGGAGGCAATTTTCTCTCAATTACTCTGTTATGCCTTTATGTTATGTTAGTATTGTGTTATGATTTCAGCTTCTTATTGTTAATATTAATGAAATTATTGTGAGTTGAATCGATTTGTCACTGTAATAAGTAGCGCCATAAATTATAATCTACATAAAATGATTACTGTAGAACGAGTAAAAGACTTAGGCCCAGTTCCACAACTCATGGTTAACTCTTAACCGAGGTTTAACTTATTCATTGTCTCTTTCTAATTTTAGAATTGAAAAGAGATAAGAAACAAATTGAACCTCGGTTAAGAGTTAATCGTGAGTTGTGAAACTGGCCCTTAGTGGTTATTTCGTGATACATACGTGTAGAGGAATAGTAAAGCATATTGTATAGCAAAATACAAGTGCTTTGCTTTCGTATTCTTTATTTAGTTTGTTGTCTTGTATATCCCATCTGTTTGGGATATACGGCATTTTCTGTGGGCGGGATTTATGCCCAAAGCATACAAGATGCGCAAATTGAATTCAGTGCACTAAATGCAATAAACACATTACATGAAACATATACCTCATATCATAATGCTTGTAATATATGTAGGAAGATTGTAGTTATTATCTATTACTTCATATACATATTTATCATTCTTATTTCTTAATAAAACTTTATAAACGCATTTTATAAGTTATTGTGTCATTTTACGTCTTATTTATATGCATTGTTTGTAAATTTTTCATGAGCCGTATATACCATCCCTCTCCCAATCAACGAGGCGATTTTTACAATGGCGTAAAAAGTATTTTTCACACCACTGCCCGTATCGTCCAGCTGATTGGTTGCTGCTTCACGCTTGACACTTGCATGTGAATGCATCTTAAGACGTACCGTAAAGCGGGGAGCACAGACTCTAGCATAACGTATAAAATGTAATGCATAAGATGCAAAGCATGCGCCAAAAACCGGGCTCATCTGGGGTCACTGGTAGATCGTAGTACCGAATTGCGTCATTCAATAGCTACGTTTACAAACGCTTCGAAGCGTTCGTAGCATCACGTGGACCGCAGCCTACATCGTGCCCTTAATACGCGACCTATACAATAGGTGTCCTTATTTATCTTGTACGTTAAATTGACATTCAACGAGCGATGTAAAACAGTACTGATACGCAGCGTGCTGCTTGACCGCGCGCTCGTGCTCGACATATTGACTGTTTTCCGCACTTCAGAGTTAGCAATTAAATTGGATTTGGGCACGATTCAATAGTATATAGTCTCAGGATTAATTTGCCATCAAAAACATTCGAGCAATTAATTCTTACGACATTCCACGAACGATATAAGATGATACTGATACGCAGCGCGCTGCTTGACCGCGCGCTCGTGCTCGACATATTGACTGTTTTCCGCACTTCAGAGTTAGCAACTAAATCGGATTTGGACACGATTTGATAGTGCATTGTGTAAGGATTACTGTGGCACCAAAAACATTGGAGCAACTAATTCCTACGATATTCCACGAGCGATATAAGATGGTACTGATATGCAGC